ATTCTGACTATTAGTGGATGTTTGCAGCCGTCTCCTCTCATTTGGAGTTATGCCACAGCAGTAAATGAGGCCCTGAAAGCTTTCACTCCATCCCATTCGTCAGTCACCTCGACTTTGACTGTTTCTGGGGATATTTTGAGTGCCTTCCAATCCGAGGGATATGGGCACTGCTTTCACAAGGTCCTCTCTGAGCACATTTTTCAAAAGCAGATCATCAGATGCATCTTCCTAGTCCATCTTACTCTGGAAGCTCCGCTCAAGCTGGTTTGCCAAGGGATCGTCCCGCTGGTATTTGCGACCCTGGTGGCGTAGCTTCCAGCACTGCGGCAACATGACCACCACTACAAGCGACCCAGGCGCCTCTTCGGACTTGCTGCCCTTCTGTGGTCTGACTGCAAGAAGTTCTTAACTAGCCAATTTGCTGATATGGGATTTTTTGAATTGCATCAAAACTCAAAATTGTCCAGAGGATCTTGGGTGAGTCTGATATGTCACTAAAAATCCACAAGCATCATTTATAATTATTTCTTCATCTTAAAAACATGAGTTACAGTCTGACAAAACCTTCTTTCCTCACTAAACATATGGAAGGTAAGGAAATATTGAAACTTCAGAGGAAATGTCAGACAAATAAGTAATGCTCTTTTATCGCATTTTCTTTTAAAAAGGAAAAATTAGGAGTACAATTTTCCTGGCAACATCAACAGTGTAAATTCTCCTCCGCTGTGCAGAACAATGCCAGGCAGGCGCGCAGTGGAAGCATTAAGGGATGGTTCGAGGCACACCGGGTTGGACCATTCCTCCAGTAGGACTTTCTGCTGATATCTTACTTTGCCACCTTCCTTCGTGACGGTGGTAAAGCCCCATTAAAACACAGAGCACAGATACGAAGATGGTGTCCATGTCTAACAAATGGACTAAAAAGTGCACTGCCAAGAGAGTTCAGAGAATTCCTACTTCCCTGGGCTCCGGGTACACACCCACCGGTACCTGTACAGAGGCCTCAGGTGTGGCTGTGGGAGGCATTTTCTCCTGGTCCTTTTCAACGTGCCCTGGTCCAGCTCTTCCTTTCCACACACTGATACCCATGACATGCGAGACAGGGCCACCTTCTTCATTAATAAGCAACCCAAGCCCGTAGCCTCTGTCAAAGGAAGAAGAGAGCCCCTAGGAGGGAGACAAGAAGCGAAACGGGCTGGGGCGCAGGAGGGGGCTGAAAGCCCTGCTGAAGCCTTCTGGTGGTACATATCACGCTCACCTTTACCTGGGACCAACGAGATAAACAGGAGGTGTGCCTCAAAGTCATGTGCAGCAAGAATCCACTCCAGGAAGCAAAGTTTCCCCTTCGTTTCTATTTTAATCATTTGGGGGGGGGGGGTCATACAACTCTTATCACAATCCATACATACATCAATTGTGTAAAGCACATTTGCACATTCATTGCCCTCCTCATTCTCAAAACATTTGCTTTCCATTTGGGCTCTTGGAATCAGCTCCTCATTATTCATTTTTTCCTTCCCCCCCTGCTCCCTCATGAACCCTTGATAATGTATAAATTATTATTATTTTATCATATCTTATGCTGCCCGGCATCTCCCTTCACCCACTTTACTGTTGTCCATCCCCCAGGGAGGAGGTTATATGTAGATCCTTGTAAATGGTTCCCCCTTTCCAATCCATCCTCCCTCCACCCTCCCGGTATTACCACTCTCACCACTGGTCCTGAGGAGTTCATCTGTCCTGGATTCCTTGTGTTTCCAGTTCCCATCAGCACCACTATACATTCTCTGGTCTAACCAGGTTTGCAAGGTAGAACTGGGATCATAATAGTGGCGGGAGGACAGTGGGAGGAAGTATTTAAGAACTAGAGGAAAGTTGTGTCGCTTCATCAATGCTACACAGCACCCTGAGTGACTCATCTCCTCCCCACTACCCCTCAGCAAAGGGATGTCCAGTTGCCTACAATGTCCATCTGCCCCTTTCAACAATCAACTTATTCCTTGTTGCTTGACAATAAAGTGTTGTAGTATATTATACCGGGAGCTAGTAATAAAAAGAACTCAAAAGACTGCTATGAAAAAGAAGAAATAAAAAAGCACGATAAAGATCTTCATATGTAAGGGAATTGACGTTGGGTGGGGCAGGGGGGCAAAGAGGGGTGGAGAAGCCCTAGGCAAGAGGGTTGGCAGGCATTAACGGGGAGAAGGGAAGAGAGTGATCCTGAAGGAGAAGACAAATCAAATGGAGGGGAGGGACTTGGGGGGTTGGACAAGTACTTTAAACTGTCGAATACAAAATTGATTCTCTGAAATGTAAGAACCCCGTACCTAATTCACAATTTAAAAATTGTTAAACACACACACGCACGCACGCATGCGCGCGCGCGCACACACATGAAACAAAACTCTCCTGGCCCAGGTCCTAAAAAGAGCTCACAATCTACTTAAGGAGAAAATTCCCTCATGAAATGGCAAAACAAACAGTGCAAAACAAATCAGGGTGACTTTCCTCTAGTAAATATAAAAAATACATTTATAGAGGCCTACACAGATTAATACCAATGTGTACAGCCTTACAGCAAAGTCTATACATAAAATTTATCTGAATTCAGTGTCATTTTAAAAAAATATTCCAATCCAGTTGGCCCTTCTACTTCCATAAACAGTTACTGTCTTGACGCAGCAATGACTTGATGGCAGGGAAATTTCAATGCAGTTGGTTAAAGCACACACACACACATACACACACACAAGCCACGACTGGAGGAAAACGAGACTATCATGCTGGCAAACACTGTCACTCTCTGTCATCCAGTCCATTTCGATCCCAGAATCTCCACAGGGCAGGGCGGAGCTGCCCCGCGGGTTTGCTCCACTGGAAACCTTCAAGGAAGTAGAGGGTCTCACACTGCTCCCTGGGAGCGACTAGTGAGTTCAGGCTGATCTTGTGGTGAGCTGCCGACCCCACCCCACTATGCCACCCGCGCTCCTCCTTCACAAGTAGTGTGAACCTCAGAAGTTTCATTCCATTATCTTTGAATTCCATTTTAACAAATGTTTTGAAGTCCCAGATAGAACTAAGGATGGACAGGATGCAAGTTGATTTTTGAGGACACACTAGCCACCGAAGGAACGGTAGGCCACAGGGATGAAAGCACTTGGCCGCTAAGAGCAAGGTAAGTAAGAGGTTCAAACCTACCAGCCCCGCTTTTAGGAGAAAGATGTGGCAGTGTGCTGTTTCCGTAGAGATGACAGCCTTACAAACCCCACGGAACAAATCCACACAAACAATAGGTTCGCTCTAAGTTGAATTCAGTCAACAGTAATGCTTTGTGGTTCATTTTTTTTTAGTCACTGATGTAAAAAGCCCGTTACAAATGTTGCCAAGAAACCGTGTGTTTCAGCAGCAGGAGCCAGTGCACCACATCCAAGTAGGTAACTATTATCTTTCTCCAGTTATCAGCGCAGAAAAATTCCATCCCAACAAAGTACTTGAAATGGGATTATTCCAATTAGATGGCTGAACATACTAAGCGGCTTCCCAAAGTTCACTGAACATTGGGATCAAACGGTCGTAGACTTTTTCCATAGACTCTCAGAAGCCCCTGACTGTGGAGATCCTGGAGCAGTGGCTCCAAAGAGAAGCCTGGTGATTCCCTGCTGAAAAAGGAGTCACTGAAGACTCAATGAGGTCACATGGGAGCAGACACAGGCAAGATGAGGCCACACACACTCACACACACACACACACACACACACACGGAAACTAAAGAGCCAGACACGGCAAAACACACCTTTCAGCTCAGATCGACATAAAAAGGAAAATTACAAAAGAGGGAAGTGTTGCTTTTTCCCACATCCTCAGGGATATGCAAAGAGTGAATATGTCTAATAAGCTGTGTCTGGCTATTAAATTTCCGTGTGTGTGTGTGTGTGTGTGTGTGTGTGTGTCCTCATCCGGCCTTTTTGTCTGCTTTCTATGCATGTAGTGATCACGAGGCTTTCGGAACGCTCTCTGGGGTACGTAAACCCATGGCCTTCAAGTCGGTTCTTCGGCAGGCCAGCCCAGGTGCATCAAGGTAGTGCTCTTCTCATCCGTCCTCCACGGCTGAGGTCTTCATGGGAGCAGACGGCTGAGACTCTCTTTCTCCTGAGGAGTCCCTAGAAAGTTTGAGCCATCAGCCTTTCACTGAGTAGCCAAGTGCTTTAATCACTGAGCCACTAGGTTTTTTTTTAAGGGTTCTAACTAGTTCCTTCATAAAGAGCATCTGAAAAGTGTCGAATAGATATGGGTAATTTGTACAGTTTGGGATTTTTTTTTTCAAATCCAGTTGCGTTCCTCATCCTTGGTTAGAGTTGCTACTAAGTGTTTCCGAATGACTGTCACTGGGTCACCCTTAGCCGAGCATCACCAGGTTTGGGGTAGCCAGAAAAAACAGTAAACCAATAAGCAGCTTACCTTTAACTTTCAGGTTTCATAAAGCTTACTTCCTCCCCTGGCCCACCAAAATGAAACAGATTTTGGAATCTCAACATAGTGCTTTTTACTTGAGCAATAAAAACCAGACAATCACTCAGGACTGATGCTCCGCAGCTACTTTAAGTAAAAATTTCTTCAACATAGTACTTTCCTTCCCAGTATATCCTCTACTTTGAAACATACACAAACCTCAGACATTAGGCGGATTATTTAGAACAGCCAGCAATGATGGGGAGAACTCCACCAGCCTCAGCAAATGATGCTAATTTATTGAGACGTATCAGGAACTCTTGGGAATGAAGTGTCTGCTAATTAGGCCACCATGAACAGATTCCCAAATCTTGCAAAGTTTTTCCAAACATCTGATGAAGAACTTTGATTTATGGGCTGTCCAGGTAAAACCTGAACAGATGGTATCTTTTAACAGTAACTGACACATGAATTTGTTAAGGATTTCAATCTCTTGAAAACATACAGCTCTACAGAGGAAAATAATGCGGAACAGTTTTAGAATCATCTACCTTATCTTTGTCTTCAACAACATCTGCCAAGACATCATCTGGATCCAGGATTCCACCATCTGTGTATTCTAAGTGATGAATCTTCACCCAGTAACCAGGATCCTGTGGTAGAACCAGCAACATATTTCATGACCAATTTTTTTTAAAGTAACATATATTTTAATGTGAAAAAAATTAATGGATTTACTAAAAATGTTTGAGTAATAATATCATTTCCAAGCACCCAAAACACATGCCATATATTTATTAGTATAAGTATTTGGCCCTTGTTATCCTGCTCAACATAAATCAGTAAATCCAAAAATATATATATTCCATCGGTTATTCTTGATGATAAACTGCAATGTACAAATGAATTGCCCCACCAATTTGAAAAACATATTCAAGGAGTTTTC